GTGTGGTAGTGTTGTAGTATTGCCGTGTAGTAGTGTGGCGGTGTGGTAGTGTGGCGGTGTGGTAGTATGGTAGTGTGGTTGTCTCGTAGTGTGGTGGTGTGGTAGTCTGGTAGTGTTGCAGTGTGGTAGAGTGGCCGTGTTGTAATGGAGTAGTGTGATAGTGTGGTGGTATGCTAGTGTGGTTAGTATGGTAATGTGGCCTTGTGCTAGTGTGGTAGGGTAGTAATGTGAACGTGTGTTTGGGTTGCCGTGTGGCAGTGTGGCGGTAAGGTAGTGTGGACGTGTGGAAGTGTTTCCGTGTGATAGTGTGGCGGTGTGGTAGTTAGGCCGTGTCGTAGTGTTGCGGTGTGGTACTGTGGTCGTGTGGTAGTGTGGCGGTTTGGTACTGTGGCTGTGTGGTAGTGTGGCCGTGTGGTAGTGTGACGGTGTTATAGTGTGGAGGTTTTCTAGTGTGGCGTTGTGTTAGTGTGATAGTGTGGTAGTATGGCCGTGTGGTAGTGTTGTGATGTAGTAGTGAAGCGGTGTGGTAGTGTTGTAGTGCGGCGGTGTGGAAGTTTGGCCGTGTGGTAGTGTGGTAGTGTGGCCGTGTGCAAATGTTGCGTTGTGGTAGTGTGGTTGTGTGGTGGTGTGGAAGTGTGCCCGTGTGGTAGTGTGTTATTGTGGCCGTGTTTTAGTGTGGTAGTGTGGAAGTATGGTATGGTTGCCGTGTGGTAATCTGTCTGTGTTGTAGTGTGGCCGTGTGGTAGTGTGGCCGTGTGGTAGCGTGGCCGTGTCGTAGTGTTGCGGTGTGGTAGTGTGGTCATGTGCTCGTGTGGTAGTGTGGCGGTTTGGTACTGTGGCTGTGGAGTAGTGTGGCCGTGTGGTAGTGTGACGGTGTGGTAGTTTGACTGTGCAGTAGTGTGGCCGTGTGGCGGTATTGCCGTGTGGTAGTGTGGCCGTGTGGTGGTGTTGCCTTGTGGTAGTGTACCCGTGTTGTAGTGTGGCCATGTGTTAGTGTGACCGTGTGGTAGTGTGGCCGTGTGGCGGTGTTTCCGTGTGGTAGTGTGGCCGTGTCGTGGTGTTGCCTTGTGGTAGTGTACCCGTGTGGTAGTGTGGCCATGTGTTAGTGTGGTAGTGTGGCCGTGTGGTAGTGTTGCCGTGTGTTAGTGTGGTAGTGTGGCCGTGTGGTAGTGTGGTTATGTGTTAGTGTGGTAGTATACCCGTGTGGTAGTGAGGTCATGTGTTAGTGTGGTAGTGTACCCGTGTGGTAGTGTTGCTGTGTGTTAGTGTGGTAGTGTGGCCTTGTTGTAGTGTGGCCATGTGGTAGTGTGACCATGTGTTAGTGTGGCCGTGTAGTAGTGTGGTTATGTGGCCGTGTGGTATGGTGAGGTGTGGTAGTGTGCCCGTGTGGCTGTGTTGTAGGGTGGCGGTGTGGTAGTGTGGCCGTGTGGTAGTTTGGCCTGTGGTAGTGTGTCCGTGTGGATGTGTGACCGTGTGGTAGTGTGGCCGTGTGGTAGTTTGGCCGTGTGTTAGTTTGGCCGTGTGGTAGTGTGCACGTGTGGCTGTGTGGTAGGGTGGTGGTGTGGTTATTGTGGCCGTGTGGTAGTTTGGCTGTGTGGTAGTGTGGCGGTGTGTTAGTGTGGTAGTGTGGCCGTGTGGTAGTGTGGCCGTGTGGTAGTGTGACCGTGGGGTAGTGTGGCCGTGTGGTAGTGTGGAGTGGTAGTTTGGCTGTGTGGTAGTGTGGCGGTGTGTTAGTGTGGTAGTGTGGCCGTGTGGTAGTGTGGCCGTGTGGTAGTGTGACCGTGTGGTAGTGTGGCCGTGTGGTAGTGTTGCCGTGTGGTAGTGTGGTCGTGTGGTAGTGTGGCCTTGTGGTAGTGTACCCGTGTGGTAGTGTGGCAGTGTGTTAGTGTGGTAGTGTGACCGTGTGGTAGTTTGACCCTGTGGTGGTGTGGCCGTGTGTTATTTCGGAAGTGTGGCTATGTGGTAGTGTGGTTATGTGGCCGTGTGGTAGGGTGAGGTGTGGTAGTGTGCCCGTGTGGCTGTGTTGTTGGGTGGCGGTGTGGTAGTGTGGCCGTGTGGACGTGTGGTAGTGTGGCCGTGTTGATGTGTGACCGTGTGGTAGTGTTGCCGTGTGGTAGTGTTGCCGTGTGGTAGTTAGGCCTTTTGGTAGTGTACACGTGTGTTATTGTGGCCATGTGGTAGGGCGGTTATGTGGCCGTGTGGTAGGGTTGTTATGTGGCCGTGTGCTAGTGTGGTAGTTTGGTAGTGTTGCCGTGTAGTAGTGTGGCCGTATGGTAGTTTGGCCGTGGGTTAGTTTGGCCGTGTGGTAGTGTGCACGTGTGGCTGTGTGGTAGGGTGGCGGTGTTGTTATTGTGGCCATGTGGTAGTTTGGCCGTGTGGTAGTGTGGCCGTGTGTTAGTGTGGTCGTGTGGCCGTGAGGTAGTTCGGCCGTGTGGTAGTGTGCCCGTGTGGCTGTGTGGTAGGGTGGCGGTGTGGTAGTGTGTCCGTGTTATAGTGTGGCCGTGTGTTAGTTTGGTAGTGTGTCCGTGTTATAGTGTGGCCGTGTGTTAGTGTGGTAGAGTGGCCGTGTGGTAGTATGGCCGTGTGGTAGTGTAAATAAAGACCTATTGTATTTACAGAGTTGTGTTTATATTTCTTGTCATCCGGTGTGGATTAAAGTGCTTCTAGAATATTGTTGTTTCCCTAGACAACATGGAGCCTTGCACTTGCATATTGCCCGTTCAGTACATGCATCTACTTCCTAAGAAGCATGTACATCATATCACATTAAATAAACGTGTACAACAATAGACAAATGAAAACATAATTTTTTAACCACAGACAAACGATGAAAATAAAATTTCTTTATCTGAAGGGTAAGCTAGATCTATGTTGGGACATCTCAGAGCACAGTGGTTCACTTTACGACCCACGAGGAGGGGAATGGGGAACTAATGATGTCACTAAATAAGCAGCATGCGGTGGGCGCCACAATATATACATATAATAATAATAATAATAAAGTTCATTTCAAAAACACGCTTCATCCCCAAAGGGTTGAAGCACGGTACAAAGTCAACAAAAAAAAATTTAAAAAATCTTTAATGCACCACATTTAAAACAAAAACAACACTACAAAAACTAATTACAAGCATACAAGGTCAAAGTCATTCTAGCCATTTCAACCATAAGCAACACAGCCAATATGCATTAACTGGAAAATAAGGTAGACAATCATCCCAGAAGGTGTTTGCGAAATAGATGTGTCTCTAAATCGGTTTTAAAGGACTCCAGTGTCTGGTTGTTTCTGAGATCGACAGGAAGGGCGTCCCAAATTGTTTGAACAGCAAATACGAAAGTGCGCTTTCCGTAAGTCTCAAGGCAAATACGTGGTGTCGAGAGTTTGCCACTATCGGATGAGCGGAGTTGTCTAGTGGGTACATAAGGCGTCAGCAGCTCTTTCAGATAGGACTGCGCCAGGTCATGTAAGCAGCGGTAGCGCAAAGTTGCGACTTTGTACTCTATGCGAGCACGCACCGGCAGCCAATGCAACGCTCTCAGAAGTGTTTTTGCATGGTCGAACTTGCGTTTGCGGAGAACAATGCGAGCCGCATTATTCTTTGCTCTTTGAATGTTATCCAGGAGCGTAGCTGGAAGACCCACCATGATAGCGTTGCAATAGTCCATGCATGATAGCACAAATGCAGACATCAGCCTCTTTGTTGCATCAATTTTAGGAAGGGCCTGATGTGATTAATCCTGCGCAGCTCCAGAAAAATCGCCTTGCATAGCATGTTAATATGACTTTCAAATATTTGTCTTCTATCTAGGTTGACACCCAGGTACCGCACTGTTTGAGCTAACTCAATACGCACACCTGAGAGAGTAATGGATGTCGTGTTATGTGCAGATTTTTGCTTCTGAGCGGTCGCAATGGGGAGCAGCTCAGTCTTATCATCATTTAATTTGAGCTTGTTAATGGTCATCCAGTGCTTAACCGACTACATTGTCTTCTGTGTCATACTTAGCAGCTGAGGGAACTGAGAAGGGATCACGGATTGATGAAGTTGTGTATCGTCCGCGAACATGTGATACAACATGTCAAACTGTCTGATCTCTACACCCAGGGGCTGAATGTACATTGTGAAAAGGACAGGGCCTAGGATCGAGCCCTGGGGTACTCCGAATTCGATATTAGATTTTTTCGAGGTTAAGCCGTTTGAAATAACTGACTGGACCCGATTAGTCAGATACTATCCGAACCAACACACTTATAAACATTGATTCATCTATAACATTATCAATTCTAGTTTTCATACGAAATGGCAAAATTTTTAATGAACTTCATCAATTTTCCTAGAATATTTGTTTCTAATGAATAGATGACGTCAAATGTTGGAATTCCCGGTATCAAACTTTATCAGCCAATCCTCGTCCATAAGAGTTATCTTAATGTCGCGTTCAACATAGTGCTCTTATAATATTATATGTGTTACAATAACCAGAACGAAAAAATGTACTAAGGAAAAATGGGCTTTAAGAAAACTTGAAAGAAGACAAACAACAGAACAACCTTTCAGCGAGCTATATGACCCATCAGAAAAAAAAAGTAGTAAATTATCTCCTCTTAAAAACATTGAAGTAAATGATCTCTGTCATTGTCAAGCAAGAGCCGATTGCTACACACAACAAAAAAAAAATAATTCTAAAACCAAAAAAAAAAATTAATAAAAATACAATCAAATTTTTAATCATCAGTCTAACTTTCACAATTTCTCTAAACAGAAAACTCTGAAAACTAATGATAATAATTTTAAAAAAAAACACGACAACATTGATTGAGTCCTTTAGTAATCTCAATAAACCATAAACATAAAACATTTTCATTTTAAGACTAAAATAATGGTCTATTAATCGAGATATTCGATAAATGCCGTCATATTTCAAAGAATCATTTATAAAAAATGTCTTTTATCAAGATTTGAGAAGCACAGCTGCCCCCGACAACCAAAACGAAAACCCCGTGACGTAATTTTCCCAGAAATACACAGTTCGCGCTCAGTTCGCTCTTTGTGCTAAATTCACGTTGCCGAAGTGGATGTTACTTTTGAAGTGTTCCACCGTTGCGTTCACACCCGACATATTATTGGGGCATTCGAGACTTCCAGTTAGTTTTTCCTATATTCAAAGCCACAAGAAAACAAAAGGGGGCACTTTCTCAATGTTGTTCATGCACAAGCAGCCAAGCCTGGCTTTAATTTCAGTTTCGGTTCTGCTTCGCGGTGACCTAGTTATAGCATAGCAAAAGGACCTAGTTAGTTAAGCTATTATGAACGACGGTGGTGTGAAAGAATATCTTGAACACAACTTACGCACGGCACATAACACGCTGTTGGTTGCTACGTAAGGTAAGGCAATATATGTTCGGGAATTTTTTATGGCTATGTTGGGTTTTATCAACTCTTCAAGTTTTGTTGTATGGCTTTTGTTTAAAGTGACATTGCGACAGATTGTTACACTTTTACATTTTCTTCCCTTCTCTCAACATAGGTTTGAAAAATTAATGCTGTTTTGTTTTTTTTGGTGTTTTTTTTACACCTTCACGAATTCACCAAAATTTTAAATTTATGATCTTATTAGAAAATGACTAGATATTACATAACAGTTCTTAGAGTAAAGCATATTTTAGAATACATTTCTAATTACTTTTCAGCAATCATTTTTAAGATGTAAATGTTAGTAAATTTCCAAGTGTATTTTCATACCTATATATTTAGAAATAATATATGTGGCTGATTCTTACGAGTCATCCCGAGAAGTCGTTGCGTGTTTATTCAATTATTGTGCAGGATTCATTCCCCTTTGTTTATTTTATTTGTTGGAGTAAGTGCTGATGACATGTTTTGTATTAATATTTAATTGGTTGATTATTTATAATTTCATTCAAGTGTATGCATTCACTTAATGAAATCTGCGTTCGAAAGAGAACAGCTGCATGCTACCTACCCTATGGCACAGCTGCATGCTACCTACCAAGTGGCACAGCTGCATGCTACCTACCCTATGGTACAGCTGCATGCTACCTACCAAGTGGCACAGCTGCATGCTACCTACCCTATGGTACAGCTACATGCTACCTACCCTATGGCACAGCTGCATGCTACCTACCCTATGGCACAGCTGCATGCTACCTACCCTATGGTACAGCTGCATGCTACCTATTAAGTGACACAGCTGCATGCTACCTACCCTATGGCACAGCTGCATGCTACCTATCCTATGGCACAGCTGCATGCTACCTACCCAGTGACACAGCTGCATGCTACCTAACAAGTCGCACAGCTGCATAGCACCTACCCAGTGGCACGCTGCATGATACCTATAAGAGGCACAGCTGCATGGTACCGAACCAGTGGCACAGCTGCATGCTACCTACCTAGTGGCACAACTGCATGCTACCTACCAAGTGGCGCAGCTGCATGCCACATACCAAGTGGCACAGCTGCATGCTACCTACCAAGTGGCACAGCTGCATGCTACCTACCCAGTGGCACAGGTGCATGCTACCTATCCAGTGGCACAGGTGCATGCTACCTACCCAGTGGCACAACTGCATGCTACCTACCCAGTGGCACAGCTGCATGCTACCTACCCAGTGGCACAGCTGCATGCTACCTACCAAGTGCAGTTGAAAATAACCCCAGAAACAGGTCGGGATCTGATGACATGTTGCTTTTAATGTGTGTGAGGCATGGGTGGGTTGTGGCAACCCATGCCGACGATTCTATCATACAGCCTGTGAGGGTACTGTCCATAGGCAACCGTTTCGTCCCAGCTACAATGTGACATAATCACAAAGTAAAAACCACGTGTAAAAAACCCTAAAAGAGGGCGATTGCCGCCTCCCCTGGATGGGACGGCGTGTTTTTAGGGACGTTATAATATATCCATCCCAGCTTCAAGAGAGTTCAACAGCTGGTGCTGTGAAAGCAGCACCACCAACCGACCAGTTGATGTGAGAGCAGCACCACCAGCCGACCAAGTGTTTCCTGGTTGATGCTGCCCAATCCAAAGTCTATCGAGTGGAAGGCGGGATGGGGGACTGCCTCAGAGGCGAAGTGCCTCCGGCGTGTCGTTTCGTGGCCTGTCCAGTTAGCACCATTCGGGTGTTGGGGGAGGAGTGGGTATGTCGGGGAAGACCCAATCAGCTCTGGCTCAACGCTCTTCTGTTTTTTTTAAATATTAGTATTAATTGCACAAATTATAAAATAAAGGTGTGACTTAATACATTTAGTAAAGTGTTAAAATATATGAACCATACCATAACGTATAGATAATTTACCACCACCTCCCTCCCCTGAATGCCATCTCGAACCCTTGGGTGTTATATGGCTTAAATCACTATACTGTGTTTAAAATCCCAGTGCAAGCCTACTCCATTCTGTTTTCATATTTTCGGTTATATGCGCAAAAAACAACCTGAAGACACCTTGACATAACACACCAACACGTGCACCTCACTCCCCCCCCCCCACTGCCGTTTACGTTACTGGTCATCATGATTTGGGAATCAATATCAGTGTTCTGACATAATGCCTAAAGATTGATTGATCTATTTGCCTTACATCCTGAGCCCAACATTGCGATGCAAATCTTGATTGGCCTCCACGAAATCCACTTGTTATCTTCATTGCCAGCGGCACGAACCATTCTCAAATCTATCTGAAAGTGCAAGATATTCAAATATGAAGTGTTCTACGAAACTCTTTTGATTTGACTTCATTACTAATCTCGTTACGATTGGACCCCGGCCAAAAGAGGGGGGGGGGGCGGGCTGATTGCAAAGACGTCTCCTTTTCTGCTTTACCTTTTATTCAAATTATCATCTTTTCCAACAGTTAGAGAGGATTAGATTCCCTGAGGGGCATTTAGTAAGGGAGGTCGCTGCCGAATATGACGCATTTAGTATTAGAGATGAGCACACATAACACTGACCTGAAGAGGAAGGAGAGCAGTGATCAAATCTGATACTGAAAGTCGGTTTCAGTTTCTTTCCTTTTCCACGCCCACAAAACCAAAACTAACTGAACATGCTACTAGAGTAAGGGCCGTGGGGGGGGGGGTGCTACCTTAAAGAAATCAGATCAATGTAGCACATGCAGTGGGTCATATTGGCCAATAAAGAGTGCGCATATTGATTTTAAAACACAAAAAGCCCGGAAACTTTGTACTCACATTTTCAAGTAAATTTCAAATTCTGTCTATGGGAGGGTCAACTGAGAAAGGATCTATGGATAAGGCAATATGTGAAAGGCTGCCAATGGTCAATATAAATTTTTGTAGGTAGAATGTTCATTGTGAAATGATGTATGTAGAGCATAGTCCTACCGATTTTCAGTTTCGGCGATGCATGTTAAATCCAGTGTATGTTAAGTGATGATTGCTAAAGCCAGTGTATGTTGAGTGATGCATGCTAAAGCCAGTGTATGTTGAGTGATGCATGCTAAAGCCAGTGTATGTTGAGTGATGCATGCTAAAGCCAGTGTATGTTGAGTGATGCATGCTAAAGCCAGTGTATGTTGAGTGATGCATGCTTAAGCCAGTGTATTTTGAGTGATGCGCGCTAAAGCCAGTGTATGTTGAGTGATGCATGCTAAATTCAGTGTATGTTAAGTGATAATTGCTAAAGCCAGTGTATGTTGAGTGATGCATGCTAAAGCCAGCAGTGTATGTTGAGTGATGCATGCTAAAGCCAGTGTATGTTGAGGGATGAATACTAACACCACTGTGTGGATTACTGCTTATGACACACTGATGAATATTTTTTGTTATATAGTTTAATTTAATTTTTTTTTCTATTATATAATTATAAAATCTTTAATAAAAAAGTTTGAAAAAAAAAAAATCTATTTTTGAACTTCAAAATATATCCACCGTAGGTTTACTATCGAAGAAAAATAATACTTCAAATATGTAAACAAACCACTTCTGCTGAAGGCAACGCATGCGCAGTGACTGAAATGTGAAGGGTTGTGCCTGTAAGTTGCTAGCCGCTATACTGCAACTCTAAAAAAAAACCCCGTGAAAATGTAACACGCGGTCACAGAAATCTCAGTATGTCAGTAACAAACCCAGAGCTCGAACGTGTCTTTAGCTTACCTGTGATGTACGTCATGTATTAACTTACATATGGGCGGGAAAACCCATGGAGATCAAAATGTCCTTCTTTCATAAAGTAGGTCATATCAACAGGGACATAAGTGTAGAGTAAAGTAGACTATATACGAATTAGAACATTGTTAGCTAAATTGGGGCTTAACCCCCAACCCCCCACCCCCACATTGAAGGGCAGTATGAAGTATACGATGGTACATTTTAGTCTGATTGGAAATGTGTTTACTTTTCAAAAGGAGGGCCAGGGCTTTGCTTTGAGGAGGGGGGGGGGGCATTAAACTTATTTTAGTGCTCTAATGGGGCGTAGGAAAAATAAGTTTAGGAATCACTGTTTAAGAGCTGTTGAACCCCCTCCCCGGTGAGTATGCAGGGTGTCTGCCAGTCTTACATGTGCCTGGAAGGTTCTCTCACACGTGGCTACTTTGCGTCATTGCATGATTTGAGTCGATTGCGATTTTCCTTGCCGTGCTCTTTCTTTGGAAGTGAGAATATTGAGAACATGTCAAAAAACAAAACAAAAAACACAACAAAATGATCATGATTTTGAAATGCTCTTTAGATATCATCATTATTTTTAAAGAATCAGATACCGTAAGATAATTTTTTAACATTCACTAAATATTCTGTTAAAATTAATAATAGACGCCGCTTGGTAGACTAAAATTTAATTTTGTGTATGTGTGTGTGTGTGTGTGTGAGAGAGAGGAGAGAGAAAGAGAACAGACGTGATGATTTAATTTATTGATAACTCAATATTGAACTAATGAGAGCAGACGTCATGATTTAATTTATTGATAACTCAATATTGAACTAATGAGGGCAGGTATATCTTTTTAAAGAAAAGATTCATCCTACACTCATTATCTAGCACATTAATTATTCTCCCCCTCTACCAGAAAGATCGCTTTCAATTTACTAATAATTTAAATTCAGGAAGTATAAACGAATCCAACATTGTGTTTTAAATTGTATTAGACCAGGAATAAGATGACGGACTGGTGTGTAACAGAAATACAATGTCACGCGTGCTGGTGTGTACTAATAAGAATCATAAATTGACATCATGATTAGTAAGCCCTGACTACAATTGCAACCATCGTCCAATCACATTGCTTCATGTTCTTGATTGCCCTACGACCTTTTCTCCCCACCCCACATAGCAAACAAATGTTCAAGTTCCCATGTGGATTTTCTTTAAAATAAAAACTTCGGAAATTATAAATTTAAAATTGTCTTGTGAAATACATAGATTTATTAAGTTTCAATCAATCAAATTAAATGATACCCATATCCCTAAAAAATTACCTAATAACATTTAAAGTTAGGGGCTTTTTATGTTTAAGATCAGTCTACCATTTTAAGTGTTGTTTTTTTAACGGGAAATGTCTTTTTATACATTATTGATTAGAGCCCAACAAAAATTACATTTATTATTAAATTGATCCAATAAAAATACGAAAGAAAAGTATGAATATAAAACCAAGTTAGGAAAAGAAGTTTGTCATCCTAATCAAGAGCCGCACATTTCTCTATGTTGTCGAAAGAGAATGTTTGATTAGGACCAACCAGTAAATCAAAAATTTGATCTTTGAATTGATACTAAGTTCATGTCTTGGTCAAATAAAAATGGTTGAAATAAAAATAAATGAACATTGGAATGACCATTGATCTATCACATACGTTATGGACATGGGTCACTGGTTGAGACCCACTGCATATTACCGAACTTTTAGAACCATGGGAAAGTGGTAGACAGACACACGACTTATCACTGATAGATATAAGAAAGTGGTAGACAGACACACGACTTATCACTGATAGATATAAGAAAGTGGTGGACAGACACACGACTTATCACTGATAGATATAAGAAAGTGGTAGACAGACACAAGCTTTATCACCAATTGCCAGAGGACAGTGGCCACATGACTTCTATACAGTGTTGTGGGCCATAGTGCAGGTCTTAGAGGGAAACAAGACCAAGTGCAGGTCTTGACGTTGAAGTACCTCTTATATGGGAGTACGTGCTTCTAGTGCGTCCTGCTTCCTCTTCAAAACCGCCCGCCCCCCCCCCCCATCTTTACATGTTTGATGTTATTAGTTCTGAGTAAAAAAAGTTTGTCACGCATTGAGCTTCATGCGTGTTGGTCCAGTAAATTCGAGGATTGTTGTCTTTAGGGGGGAGGCGACTGTTATAGTAATTAATGAAGAACCAGAAGTATGGCGTGGGACTTCTGTAGGACTATATGTAGCACTGTCTATAGGACTGTCTGTAGGTCTGTCTGTAGGACTGTCTGTAGGACTGTCTGTAGGACTGTCTGTAGGACTATTGTTTAAAAGGCCTACACGTAGGGTGTAGGACTGTCTGTAGACCTTTTATTTAGAGGCTGGCATATATGATAGAAAATGAGAAGTTAACTCTTGGTCCCACCGGAATGTTCCCAAAATACCCGGATACGTTGTTGAAAACTGCGCCTGTTTAAGCCCTAGTTGGAATAATTGGGACAAAATTAGACCGGGGAAATTCTGAATCCTGTCTTCAAGCTGATATAAGTTACAAAGATGTCAAGGAAATTCAACCATGAACATCATCTATGGGCGCTTATCAACATGAACATCATCTATTGGCGCTTATCAACATGAACATCATCTATTGGCGCTTATCAACATGAACATCATCTATTGGCGCTTATCAACATGAACNGAGGCTGGCATATATGATAGAAAATGAGAAGTTAACTCTTGGTCCCACCGGAATGTTCCCAAAATACCCGGATACGTTGTTGAAAACTGCGCCTGTTTAAGCCCTAGTTGGAATAATTGGGACAAAATTAGACCGGGGAAATTCTGAATCCTGTCTTCAAGCTGATATAAGTTACAAAGATGTCAAGGAAATTCAACCATGAACATCATCTATGGGCGCTTATCAACATGAACATCATCTATTGGCGCTTATCAACATGAACATCATCTATTGGCGCTTATCAACATGATCATCATCTATTGGCGCTTATCAACATGAACATCATCTATTGGCGCTTATCAACATGAACATCATCTATTGGCGCTTATCAACATGAACAGCATCTATTGGCGCTTATCAACACTTACCAGCCAAACAAAACCCAACGTCCCGGAAATTGAATGTTGATGCCATAAGATCTATGTCAAATGTAGATGTTGATGCCATAAGATCTATGTCAAATGTAGATGTTGATGCCATAAGATCTATGTCAAATGTAGATGTTGATGCCATAAGATCTATGTCAAATGTAGATGTTGATGCCATAAGATCTATGTCAAATGTAGATGTTGATGCCATAAGATCTATGTCAAATGTAGATGTTGATGCCATAAGATCTATGTCAAATGTAGATGTTGATGCCATAAGATCTATGTCAAATGTAGATAGTATGATATTGCTCGTGTTTTTTACAATGTCATAATAAATGTTTACATCCATCTAAATGAATATTATAATTGCCTGCTATGAACGCCATGCTAACATAGTATTGGCATGGACATCTCGTAATTAAAATATGAATTCCATAATATTGGGATTAAGATAAGATTTGTTTTCTATGTCATCCCATGAATAAATCCCCGGATTTAAGTGTTAAGACTGCTCGTTGTAATCTACTCAATACGGTCTACACACAAGTGTTGAACGTAAGAGTTTCAGTATGAAGCCATCTGGTTATGAAAAGGAAATTCATTACCATTAAGCCTCAAGTAGCCTAGTAAGGGAATATCAAGAAACAAAACACACTTATATTACAAAAAGTAAGTGTACAAATCAAATGTGAAAATCTAACATTAGGAACTATAGAAAGCATCAGCAGACAATAGAAGATTCCCCTGTTGCAGTATAATTAAAAAAAACAAACACCTACTCAAATATACGTTCGTGATGATCTCCAAATAATCTCAATGCCTCCTACGTCATTACATAGAGGAAATAAACAGAGCAAATTTAGACTGACTTCAATAATGGCATTGCTTTCAGCATAACTAGTCTATTAGGTCTAGCTGTGATTCCAAAGCACCTTGCCACCCGAGTCTGGTCGTCTTCTGATTAGTGATACATAGAACTAAATACAACAAAATACATCAGCTTGGAATAAACAAGTTTTGATTGATTTATTTAATTACCCGATGTTTTTATTTTCGAAAACACAAAATTCGTTCTTTCTTTATTATAATCTATTTGTAGCATGGTATATTGTCGATACTGTTATAATAGAACAAGACAAGTTTGTCTGTTTAAAATGTATTTGTTTTAAATTCCTCTGGCCTAAACATACAAAGGATATCGCTGATAAAGAGATGAGACTGTTTAAGCTCTTTCTTTTTATGAACGAAGATATTGAAACGTAAATATTGTATAGTGGAATTTGAAGGAGTTGGTTCATTTCTTCTTCTTCTATATCTTAAGGGCCCACGATCAATTTTTTGATCATTTTGGCTCCTATGCATGTAGATGGGATTTGCAATGTTTCTGTTACTGGTGTTGATGAGGGTAAAGTGAAGATAGCCCCCCTTAACTGCAAGTTAATACTGGGCTAATAAAAATATCGGTAATTTCCCCTTAAAATTTTGTTCACAGTGCTCGTGATCTCTGCGTGCGCGTGATGTTGGGGACATTCAGACAGGGAAAGGACATTTTCAATATAGAAAAAAACAATTTAATCGTGTTCAGATTTATGAAAGTTTAAAAATAAAGCTAAAACTTTGTCCCCGTTAAAATAAAGACATCGCTAAAAAGTTAGAAAATAAGCCATCTATTTAAGCTATTTAAAAGAGCGATCACAATTTTTTTTTTTTAATTCATCTTCCTCTCACCCCCCCCCCCAACCCGTTTGTCATTTCACAGACCGGAAAACATTTGAGACGTCGGACAAACATGCCTTAAAACATGGCAGCTTATTGTGTGTTTCAGCAGAGCGGTCGGCCGATCCTTGTATCTGTCTATTTCTCAAACATCTGCTAGGGTGATGTTGTCTTCCATCTTTTCCAGCTAGCTATTATCTCCTAGAAGTATATTGGCCTGTGTTGTTTATAGTTGCAAGGGATGAAAGAATTTGAATGGGTTTGGCTCGTTTGTAGTGTTTGTAGTGTTGCGTTCTGTGTTTTAATGTTATATAATATAGATTGTTTCATTTCTCTTTTAATATGGTTGACTTTGTACCGCGCTTCGAGCCTTTGGGGATGAAGCGTGTTTTTTTAAAAAATAAACTTTATTATTATTATTATTAATTAGGTCCCATTACACAAAAAAGCAGTAAAAAAAGTGTAAAATATAGTTGTAAAGTACCCGGATAATTACATCAGTTCTAATAATAGATTTCCATCATTAAAAGACACGTCTAGTACAACGCACTTCCCAAAAGTCTCCCAGGTCTGACCTAATGAAAGGTTCTCCCCCCCCCCCCCGTGGGGTAAACCCGTGTTTTTTTAGCCATCCATTTTTTTTTCCCACACCCCGAAAAAACCAATAATTTTAAAATAAGCTGCTAAATTTAGATGTTTGTAATTTTTGTAGTGGTTGACCTGTTCACTAAAGACGATATCACGTTCAACCTGCAGACGCATCATTCACTTTTTGTTTCGGTAAACCATGGCAGCTATTTTTAAACTAAGCAGAAAGTCCCCACAACTTTGACTTAAATGGTAGGTGAACTGTGTAAGGGGAAGCGATTAGGAACGGTTCAGATATGACGTTACACACTTCCTCCTTCAAGCCTTGGGATTTCCGAGTGTTAAAACGATCTCTACTGACTGTGTGACTGTGTCTTACCCACGAGCTGTGTTGTCAATGATATAAATAATGGCTCATCTTCCGTTATAAGGATAACTGACTGTGATAACAGCAATCAGCCAATCAATCCACGGGTATGTTATAGTCTCGTTAGCTAGCTCATGACGTTTCCCACTAGTTTTAGTTGTCATTGGATCAAATATTGTCCAGGTACGGTGCTGAATTTTGATTGTCTATGTATGAGGCTCTGTGCAAAAAGTTATACTAGTATTGAAGCTATTTTTATTTTATATATTGAACAATGTATTAATATAACTTTATAACACTCTTGTAATTTCCTTGACTATATACACTCTTTGTTTAAATTATGTTGACATGAAATATACGTAAACATGGCTAATATTATGATACAATAGCTAAATCATTATATGTTTTGTGCTACATAATGTCATGGTACTTTTGTCTCTTTTCGATATGATCAATTCTTTGCTGAAGTATTCATGTTTGTTATGCAGTGGCGTATCTATGTGTTAGGAGACCACCGACAAGATTCTGAAATTGATTATTTTCATCCATAAAATACAATCAGGACCCCTTTCGGCGCCTTAACTAGTCTGGCGCCTTAACTAGTCTGGTGCCTTAACTAGTCTGGCGCCTTAACTAGTCTGGCGCCTTAACTAGTCTGGCGCCTTAACTAGTCTGGCGCCTTAACTAGTCTGGCGCCTTAACTAGTCTGGCGCCTTAACTAGTCTGGCGCCTTAACTAGTGAGGCGCCTTAACTAGTCTGGCGCCTTAACTAGTCTGGCGCCTTAACTAGTCTGGCGCCAGGGGGATAACTATTTGTTTAGTCTTCAGGGGGTTCTTTACTTTCCAGTGGTTGTGTAGTCAGTATCCAGTGTTTGCTTAGTCTCCAGTGGATGTTTGTCATTTATCCATTCTTTGGTTAGTTTCCAGTTGTTATTTGATTTATTCTTCAGTGGTCGTTTAGTCTCCAGTGTTTGTTTATTTAGTAGCCAGGATTTGTTTAGTCTCCAGTGTTTGTTTATTTAGTAGCCAGGATTTGTTTAGTCTCCAGTGTTTGTTTATTTAGTAGCCAGGATTTGTTTAGTCTCCAAAGGTTTGTAAAGTCACCAGTGTTTGTTAAGTGTCCAGTGGTTTGTTTAGTCTCCAGTGGTTTGTTTAGTATCCAGTGTTTTTTTGTTTAATATCCAGTACTTGTTTGTTAATTTCCAGTGATTGCTTACAATCCAGTGTTTGTTTAGTATCCAGAGTTTAATCACCACTGGTTAGTTTAGACCCCACTTTTGTTCAGTCTCCAGTGGTTGTTTTTGTCGTATAGAGTGGTTGATTGTTCAGTCTCCATTGGTAGTTTTTGTCGTATCGAGTGGTTGTTTGTTCAGTCTCCAGTGGTTGTTTTGTCGTATCGAGTGGTTGTTTGTTCAGTCTCCAGTGGTTGTTTTTGTCGTATCGAGTGGTTGTTTGTTCAGTCTCCAGTGGTTGTTTTTGTCGTATCGAGTGGTTGTTTGTTCAGTCTCCAGTGGTTGTTTTTGTCGCATCGAGTGGTTGTTTGTTCGGTCTCCAGTGGTTGTTTTTGTCGTATCGAGTGGTTGTTTGTTCAGTCTCCAGTGGTTGTTTTTGTCGTATCGAGTGGTTGTTTGTTCAGTCTCCAGTCTTTGTTTGCCTCCTAGTGGTTTCCTCTATATTTGAGGGCCCACAATCAATGTTTTGATCATTCTGGCTCCTATGTTTCAGAGGAGTTCACGTGTAACTGTGCGTGGTTTGTTAGTATCCAGTGGAAATATTTGTTTTTTTATGATCCTATTTGTTCTACATTTTGAGTTTGTTGATCGGTGGTCCACATTCCTGAGGTCCACTATTATTGTAAGATAACATTATCTCGATTATGTGTCAATTTCTGATGTTCAGGTGGCTTATTGCTCTCCATCTATGAGTCATTACATAACCAGCTTTACCCACAGCCCTAAACTTTATACTAGACAATAGAAAATTAGGCATAAGTAGTTTTTAATCAAGCTCACCAGTTGATCTAGTTCCGTTCATAGATTTATGAAAACCAAACTAACTCTTGAGGACGAAGTCAAAGCGCTTCCTAATTTGTTCTCTCATCGAGCATCATTCAAAATGTCTTGTTAATTTTCTAAAGACAGAAAGATTTAGTTTGGGTCTTTGAACAAAAAGCAAAGCAAAAAAGACAAAATCGGGATTGCCTTGACAATATTATAGATTCCTTATTAAATGTGTTTATTATATTATAATCGAAATTATAAAAGATTAAGTACTATTATAATGAAACAACCACACGTACTACACTAGTGTACCGTAAACGATAACATATACAGTTACAAACACAGGTACACAGTTATAATACCACTAACAGTAACAAGAAAGTCAGTTTTTTTTCTGTTTGCCCTGAAATCATTTTTACGTTATCCAACATTTCCAGATCGTGTGCCTATCTGAAAGATATCTCATCATGTTTCATTCCTGTGATTAATCCCTTTCCAAGGAATTACTGATATCTCACAGGTCTGATATCCATTGAAATAAACATTGATTTACCGGCAATACGCTTCACTATCAGGCTTAGTATTAAGTTCACACAGCTTCCATCATTCTTTTTAGAACAGAAGTGTTTTTTAATCACTTCAAAAAACACAAAAGACGCCTTTAAAAGGGAACGCACATGTTCAGTGATCTGCACGAATCCAATATTACTCTCAAGTTTCCACCAAACAGCTTTCCCACCAACCACCAGTTGACACCAACCATCAGTTGACACCAACCATCAGTTGACACCAACCATCAGTCCCCACCATGCCCGCCAGACCGTGTTTCAACGAGTCGCAGGTCAATCTTCTTAACGGTCACGGCCGCTCACGAGAAGGCAGTGACAGCTCGTCCATCCTAAGCTCCAGCTCCAACAGCTCCGGGGCGTCGATACGCTCCGGCTCCACCAACTATCCCCCCGTCAGCTACTGCTCCCGGTCGCAGCAGATCGTAAACGAAGTCAACACGTTTTCCCCCCCTCCCGTGGATCGACCCGAGACGGGGCGTGTTCCGCTTCCGGAATATCGTCGTCAAGCACCACCATCACCTCCGACAGCCCCGCGAGTGCCCCAAAAACCTGTTCAACACAGGAGCCAGCGAGGCAGTCATCACAGACCCCAGTGTTTGCTCAGACGCAGGACGCTCATCTTACTGAGCGCGTTTTCCTTTACTCTGAGCATCACGGCCGTAACTCTACTGGCCGTCATCTTCGCCAACCAGAGTTCTCTCTCTTGGGAGGACAACACATTCCCGGACGGCCGCTACGAGGTGTGTATAGAGTGCATCAAGTTGATGCAGAATCCAGACGACAAGGACAGCCCATTGATGCAGCAGCTGATTACCAAAGTGGACAAGGGCCGGCCCCCGAGCTGCTGTGCGCGCACCAGCGGTCAGATCTCTGCACTGGTCCAACTCGTAAGTATCTCTTAATGTCCTAGTGTTTGGGGTAGAATGCTATGTTGTAAGTGTCTCTCATCTCCTATAGTTTGGGTAGAATGCTATGTTGTAAGTATCTCTCATCTCCTATAGTTTGGGTAGAATGTTATGTTGTAAGTGTCTCTCATCTCCTATAGTTTGGGTAGAATGCTATGTTGTAAGTGTCTCTCATCTCCTATAGTTTGGGTAGAATGCTATGTTGTAAGTATCTCTCATCTCCTATACTTTGGGTAGAATGCTATTTTGTAAGTATCTCTCATCTCCTATAGTTTGGGTAGAATGCTATGTTGTAAGTATCTCTCATCTCCTATAGTTTGGGTAGAATGCTATGTTGTAAGTGTCTCTCATCTCCTATAGTTTGGGTAGAATGCTATGTTGTAAGTATCTCTTATCTCCTATAGTTTGGGTAGAATGCTATGTTGTAAGTATCTCTCATCTCCTATAGTTTGGGTAGAATGCTATGTTGTAAGTGTCTCTCATCTCCTATAGTTTGGGTAGAATGCTATGTTGTATTGATTTCTAATTGTTTGGAACTATTTAAACCATACGATACGGTATTCCTTCAACTTATATGACAAAGCAAGTTTATAAATTCGTTTTTCTGTTTGTATCCATCAAAAAGAATTTTGTTGCTACAAATTGATATAGATTGAGGAGAATTCAATAACAATTATTTTTGGAATTAATACATTGTTTATTATTTTCAGATGATGAGATACAACAAGAATATTCCAGGTAATTGTTTGATTTATCTATGACATTAGAACATAAGATATTCAAATCAAATGAAATTGTTTGATTTATCTATGACATTAGAACATAAGATATTCAGATCAAATGAAATTGTTTGATTTATCTATGACATTAGAACATAAGATACTCAAATCAAATGTAATTATTTCGTAATTCAATCATTAGGGTCTACGTGATTTCTGACACTCATCATTCAATAAATTCACATTTCACTCTCTTTATTAGTCTCTATCTTTCACACTCTCTATCTCTCGTTCTCTGACTGTGTCTCTTCTCTGTGTGTCTCTTCCTCTCTCTCTCTCTCTCTCTCTCTCTCTCTCTCTCTCTCTGTCTCTCCCTCCCCTGTCTTTCATTATTCCCCTCTTTCTTTATGTCTCTTCATCCTCTTTCTCTCTGTCTGTGCCTTCTCTCCCTCTCTTTCTCTTTCTGTCCCCTTTCTCTATTTCTCTCCCTCTTCTCTATATGTCTATCACCTCTGTGTGTATGTCTGTCCCTTCTCCATTCAATTCTCCTCCATCTATCTCTTTATGTCTCCCTCCTATTTCTCTGTGTCTCACCTCTCTCTCTCGATTTCTCTTTCTACGTTCTGTCTCTCTCATTCTCCCCTCTATCTCTCTATGTCTCTCATGCCTCTCTCTGCGTCTCCCATCTCTCTCCCATTCTCTCTCCCATTCTCTCCAATCTCTCTCTCTCTCTCTGTCTCTTCCCCTCTCTCTCTCTTTCTCTCACTCTAATTCATTCCCTCTCCCTCTGTCTCTCACCTAACTATCATATTACCTAATCTCTCTGTGTCTCTGCACCCTCTCTCCCCTCTTTCCCTGTGTGTGTTTCTCACTCCTATCTCTCATTCTCCTTCCTCTATCACACTATGTCTCTTCCTCCCTCTCCGTCTCTCACCTCTCTCTCTCTCTCTCTCTCTCACATCTCTCTATGTATGTCTTCTCTATTCTCTCTCATTCCTCCCCCTCTCTGTCTCTCTTTTTTCCTTCTCTCTATATGCCTCTAAACTCTCTCTCTCTCTCTCTCTCTCTCTCTCTCTATTGCTCGCTCTATATATTTGTATGACATCAAAGAAATTAAAAGAAATCTGCAAATACATGTCATGACAATACGATACATGGAAGATCTATTATGAGAATTATTTATTCGTAAAATGTCCTAGAGCTTTTATTGCAACCATCCATTGCTCAGCAAAACTTCTACTCAACTATGGAACACATGTGTTGGCAAAAAGATTAGATTTTTTTTTAATTTTTAAATTTCAGTGCAACAATCGTACTCTTCTCAGGATGCCTACAGATTTAGCCCTGTCAGTGCGCATGTCATATTCAAAGCTCCTGAAACTAGAACAGGTGAGTTTTTGACACCAGCACTATTGGGAAGTTATCTCACAAGACATGGGCGTGTCTCAAGAAATATTGGGAATTTATCTCACAAGACATGGGCATGTTTTAAGAAATTTTGGGAAGTTATCTCACAAGACATTGGCGTGTCTTAAGAAATATTGGGAAGTTATCTCACAAGACATGGGTGTGTCTCAAGAAATATTGGGAAGTTATCTCACAAGACATGGGCGTGTCTCAAGAAATATTGGGAATTTATCTCAAAAGACATGGGCATGTTTAAAGAAATTTTGGGAAGTTATCTCACAAGACATGGGCGTGTCTTAAGAAATATTGGGAAGTTATCTCACAAGACATGGGTGTGTCTCAAGAAATATTGGGAAGTTATCTCACAAGACATGGGCGTGTCTCAAGAAGTATTGGGAAGTTATCTCACAAGACATGGGCGTGTCTTAAGAAATATTGGGAAGTTATCTCACAAGACATGGGCGTGTATCAAGAAAACAATGAATTAACTGTCTTTTCGGGTGTGAAGACAATCATTGAGTCTAGAAACAGAGTACGTCACATGCACTACTGTCTGGATACGACTCCAAATTAGATATGCGGGTTTAAAGGTTCTATTTTTTAATTTTTTTTTATTTATTTTTTTTTTTCAAATTGAAGGACCCAATATTTAGGCAAGGAAACAACATAAAACATATTGCTTCGTGTCATACATTTAGCATACTTGGTACCTAGCAATAATATCCAAGACCAAAACTTGTACACTTACATTACTTTATTCATCTCTGCATCCTTAGGTTCATATTTCTTAATACATGTGTAGCCCTTTACCTTTTTATCAAGCTTAACCATCAAAGTAGTTCATAACTCATAATTCTTTGCCCACCTGTAGGCTCATAACTCATAACTCTTTGACAACCTATAGGTTCATAACTATTTGCCAACCTGTAAGTTCATAACTCTCAACTCTTTGCCAACCTGTATGTTCAAAACTCATAACTCTTTGCCAACCTGTAGGTTCATAACTCATAACTCTTTGGCAACCTATAGGTTCATAACTCTTTGCCAACCTGTAGGTTCATAACTCATAACTCTTTGGCAACCTATAGGTTCATAACTCTTTGCCAACCTGTAGGTTCAAAACTCATAACTCTTTGCCAACCTGTAGGTTCAAAACTCATAACTCTTTGCCAACCTGTAGGCTCATAACTCATAACTCTTTGCCAACCTGTGTGTTCATAACGCTTAACTCTTTGCCAACCTGTAGGTTCATAACTCATAACTCTTTGCCAACCTGTGTGTTCATAACTCTTAACTCTTTGCCAACCTGTAGGCTCATAACGCATAACTCTTTGCCAACCTGTGTGTTCATAACTCTTAACTCTTTGCCAACCTGTAGGCTCATAACTCATAACTCTTTGCCAACCTGTGTGTTCATAACTCTTAACTCTTTGCCAACCTGTAGGTTCATAACTCATAACTCTATGCTAACCCCTAAACTCTGCAGACATTCAATTCGAAAAAAGCCACACCCTGAAGATCGACACTCGGGTCAACTATGACCGCAAAGACCGGACACACGTCCGTGAGGTCATCGTGAGCAATAACTCCATGACCATCCTACACACGGGCTGGTACTTTGTCTATTCCAGCGTCTACTTCAGGCCGACACCAGACAGGAAGTGCAAGGAGTTTAAATACCAGGTAGGGAAGGGATAGCTTCGGGCAAAGCTTTTGAAACTAATCTTGATCAAGGGGAAGTGCACATTAAATGTGTTTGAGTAAGGACTTTTAAGAGGGTGGGGGGGGGGGGCCAATTTTTTGCAACGTAAGATTTTAAAAGAAGATTTATCTTTATAGGAACTCTAGATGAGGGGGTCTAGACTAGGGTGTGTAGACGAGTGTGTCTGGACGAGGATTCTAGACGATGGTGTCTAAACAAGTATGTCTAGACTGTGTTGCCTAGACGAGAGGGTCTTTAAAAAAAACAGACTTAGATTCTGATTCTGATAGACAACGTTGCTGCAACCAAGTCCTGGCATAAGTGCAACGGTTTGGGAAACGATGCTGCTATCAGCTATCCTAACGGCTCCTGGCGGGTGCCAGGGCAGCCTTGAAACTCTCGAGTGATGTCGAGTCCACGGCGGCATTGTCCAGTTGGTTCCAAGCAATTATTGTTCGTGGAAAGTATGACTGTTTATATTGCACTGTGCTACACCGAGGTACAGTGAAGCATTTACCATTTTCTTGATGTAACTGCTCATTGATTTGTCAGAGGTGAAGTCAGTGCATCAAAATTAGGGATGTATTAAAGGGTGAAGTAAACAAGAAAGTAACACCACATTCCCATATTGAGAGGACTAATGTACTTAACGTCATATTGTATCTTCCACTCAGACATGGGGTAATTTCATCATGAGGCTCAGCCAGAACAGACCTGATAAATCAGGGTGTTTGACCAAAACTGCCCAGACCTGCTGTGACAATTGTGAAACTGACCACCAGAGCAGCTACACAGGTAGGCAGTGATTGTTTTCATTAAGATATTTGACACAGTGAAATGTGAATTGTACGTGAATAGCTTCAAGTCACAAAATTTACTTGTGGGGGCTGGTAGTGGGTGGGGAACAAGACACTGAAATATAATAGGATTGGTCGGCGTTGTGTCTCTAATAATAAAATAAAGAGTTTAACTATGTGGAAACCAGAAGAGATTGAGAGAGAGAGAGAGAGAGAGAGAGAGAGAGAGAGAGAGAGAGAGAGAGAGACTCAGCTGTGACATTGCTGTTTCTAGCGCTGCAATCCCTTTCTTAAATTAAAAATTTAGAAAATAATATTTAAGGAAATGCGTTCAAGACGTGTAAAATAAATAAATAGTGGAACATTCAATGTTTAGATTAATAGTGGAACATAATATGTTTAGATAAATAGTGGAAAATAATATGTTTAGATTAATAGTGGAAAATGTTATTAGATAAATAGTGGAATATTCAATGTTTAGATAAATAGGGGAACATAATATGTTTAGATTAATAGTGGGATATGTAATGCTTAGATAAATAGTGGAACATGATATGTTTAGATAAATAGTGGAACATAATATGTTTAGATATATAGTGGAAAATGATACATTTAGATAAGTAGTGGAACATAATATGTTTAGATAAATAGTTGAACATTCAATGTTTATATAAATAGTGGAACATAATATGTTTAGATAAATAGTTGAACATTCAATGTTTAGATAAATAGTGGAACATAATATGTTTAGATAAATAGTTGAACATAATATGTTTAGATAAATAGTTGAACATTCAATGTTTAGATAAATAGTGGAACATAATATGTTTAGATAAATAGTTGAACATTCAATGTTTAGATAAATAGTGGAACATAATATGTTTAGATAAATAGTGGAACATAATATGTTTCGATTAATAGTGGAATATGATATAGTGGAACATGATATTTTTAGATAAATAGTGTAACATTCGATGTTTAGATAAATATTGGAACATGATATGTTTAGATAAATAGTGGAACATGATATGTTTAGATAAATGGTGGAACATGATATATTTTGGCTTGAATTGAAAAGACAGGAACTATCTTGTTGCACCAATGCTTATCATTATGTCGTCTACATATTTGAATTATCAATTCAATTTTAACCGTAAAATATTTATAAAAGTAGACTAAATATAAAATGTTATCTTAATTCAGAATACTAATATTTCAAATTAAATTATACTGGTAATGTTATTTGGTTTCACTAAAATTAATAAATAAAATGCCTAAATTGTAAATATTCGTAGATAAATTATATACAGAAATGTTGGATTTTTAAATGAGAATCTTAAAATAAAATAAAAAATTTCATATGATGAATGTTGATTACTTTGTGTCTGATAGGTGGAGTGTTCAGCTTGTCTCAGGGCGACTCAATCTATGTGGAGATATCTGGGGATGGCTTGGTCAAATATGACGAAGAAGCCACCTTCATGGGCCTGGTGATGTTAGGCAGTAACTAGAGCAAGAAGAAATTGATGTAACAGAAACATGTCAAACGTCTAGGACCACTTCTTCATCGTTTGTTTGAAGATGCTTTGAAGTACTTGAAATGACTGCATCTTACATCAAACTTCATATCTGACTAGAATAATGTCATACCCGTATTTATTATTTGGAGATACTGCACAGTCTAGAGAAGTGCGTCTGCATGTTACAGTACAATACTTGCCTGTGATGGTGTGGAGTTTTTGGACAGCAGCTAGAGCAATGAGACTGAATATTAAAGTAACATACTTGCCTGGCACGTATAACTGCTGTTCCTCATTCGAAATCAAACATGACCACTTAAATCATCCATATGTCCTAGTTCTGAACTTGATGGCTAATGCACAGATGGATAATGAGACTAATTCCAGCACGGAATGTTCATGTGCAGTAAGTGCATTGGATTGATGGGACATCTTTAGGTGAAGAAGAATTACCCAGGCTGTTGGATTTTCGGGCATGTCTTTTGTTGGCTGAAGAGTTTTTCTGTTAGCTTCATTGTGCATGGAGCCTTTGATTACAGAGGAACACCATGGTGATTGATTACAGAGGAACACCATGGTGATTGATTACAGAGGAACACCATGGTGATTGATTACAGAGGAACACCATGGTGATTGATTCTTTGCCGATTCTTGCGATGTTCCCAGGTTTATAGCCAATGCTTTCAGTCAGGCTTGAAGGTTGTCTCTAAAGCGTTTCTTATGACACCAGCAATACACCTTCCATGCTAGAGCTCACCATAGAATATTCTTCTAAGCAAGCGGTCTTTTGACATTATCATAATATGTGCCGCACAGCAAAGATGTTTGGGATATCTGCCTGTGCAAGAACTTCAGTGTCTGGGACCCTGTCCTGCCATTTGATGTTGAGGATTTCTTTGATGCTTGTCCTATGAAATATTAACATTCTTGCAAGGCTTTTATAGACTGTCCACGTTTCACAGTCATACATAAGCCTACGGAGCTCAACAGCCATGTAGCCTCTTGAGGTAGGCCTACCATAAGTTTGGTATCTGATACCAATGCCAACCAACATCTTTGGCAGCAAAAGGTGTGGGTAGGTGCTAACGACATAAAATGCATCAAACCAAAGAGTAATATAGTTGATCTATAAGTGCTCTGCTCATAATGACAACAAAGTTGTACAATAAGCGGCAGCTAGTTAAACAATAATAAAGTACCCCATGCAAAGATGCTATTATTCCTAGGCGCTGGTGTGTCATATATCAATGTGATGCAGTCTGTATTGAACTGTATACATTTTTTTAAAAACGCATAAGATTGTTTATTAAAAATGTTTTTCGAAAAGGAAATGAATGACTATTGGATGAATGACTATTGGATGAATGACTATTGGATGAATGACTATTGGATGAATGACTATTGGATGAATGACTATTGGATGAATGACTATTGGATGAATGACTATTGGATGAATGACTATTGGGTTAGTTGTCTTGACCTGATTACAGCTTTTTTGTTCTATATTCATTTAATTGTAGATTTTTGTATATGTGTAAATAGAATTATACCTAACTCTTTGCATTATTAAAGTCACAATTTTTGATTTAAAAAAGTACTGACGGCCAATGCAATGGCAACCTGAAGTACTGACAGTCAATGCAATGGCAACCAGAAGTACCGACAATCAATGCAATGGCAACCAGAAGTACCCAGTCAATGCAATGGCAACCAGATGTCATGACAGTCATTGCAATGGCAACCAGAAGTCCTGACAGTCAATGCAATGGCAACCATAAGTCCTGACAGTCAATGTAATAGCAACCTGAAGTCCTGACAGTCAATGCAATTACAGCCATAAATCCTGACAGTCAATGCAATTACAGCCAGAAGTCCTGACAGTCAATGCAATGACAACCATAAGTCCTGACAGTCAATGTAATTACAGCCATAAGTCCTGACAGTCAATGTTTTTACTGTGTGTTGTACCCTGGGTCAGTGAAATGTAAAAATAATAATAATAAGCATCATTTTAAATGTAAGTACTCTTATTAACTGACTACCATCTCAACAAACATTTTCTTATTTAGCCTAATAAAAGTAAGTGACTGTTATTTATCAAATGTTTCGTAACAATACAAGTATGTAATTATCATAACAAATCGACTGTGATTGTTGATATCAACTCCTTTCATTTGTCCGGTAACTTGATCCAGGGTAACGAAGAACTAAGAGTGCCAACCTAGTGGGAAGATTTTTTTGATTGATGATTTGAAATTGTGTGAAAATATCCTCTGGTCAAAATAAGCCCTGTGTGTCCCTGATCAAAATAAGCTCTCTATGTACCTGGTCAAGAATAAACTCTCTATGTACATAATGAGGAATAAACATTATCTCATAAATCATGACAATTACTTTCGAAACGGCGCAGTCCACTCATTTGATTGTTCCATAACTTGGCTGTTTCAAGCCGGGTGTGTGTTTGAATGTTTGTGATAGAGATGGCCAGTGGTCATGTTATATATAAGCATGAGAAAAAAACATACATGGATCAAAATAAGATTTTACTTGTCTGAAAACAGTAGTAAAACGATGGATTTTAAAAGTCAATTATTGTGTTCAATCATTTCTCACATTTGTAAAGTCTATTTGCCTCACCATACTTAGTAACACGATATTGGTTTGTTAAAATTAATATGTTCACAATCATTAAGACCATCATACCATGTGCTATTAGTAATACAAACACACCCTATCAGTAAGACCATCGTATCTACTGCTATTGGTAAGACCATCATATCAGGTCCTATCAGTAAGACCATCACACCATGTGCTATCAGTAAGACCATCCAACGATCTGCTATCAGTAAGACCATCATACCGTGTGTTGTCAGTAAGACCATCACACCATGTGCTATCAGTAAGACCATCACTCGATGTGTTATCAGTAAGACCATCCAACGATGTGCTATCAGTAAGACCATCACATGATGTGCTATCAGTAAAACTATCATACCGTGTGCTATCAATTCATTTGTAGTATCGATCTAACAGTGATAACGTGATAACTTCTAATAGTAGGCTCTATCAAACAATAATACCAAGATAGATATATCAAACAATGATATCAAGTACGCTCTATCAAACAATCATACCATGATATGAAATATCAAACAATCATACAAAGATAGGAAATATCAAACAATCATATCAAGTTATGATCTAGTAAACAATCGTACCAAGATTAGTATCTATCAAACAATCAAATCAAGATAGTATTTATCAAACAATCAAATCAAGATAGTATTTATCAAACAATCAAATCGAGATAGTATTTATCAAACAATCAAATCAAGATAGTATTTATCAAACAATCAAATCAAGATAGTATTTATCAAACAATCAAATCAATATAGTATCTATCAAACAATCAAATCAAGATAGTATTTATCAAACAATCAAATCAAGATAGTATTTATCAAACAATCAAATCAAGATAGTATTTATCAAACAATCAAATCAATATAGTATCTATCAAACAATCAAATCAAGATAGTATTTATCAAACAATCAAATCAAGATAGTATCTATCAACCAATTAAAATATATCAAACAATAAAAGTATGATCATTCAATCATCATCTCAGCCTAGCATCTGTCCAACAGTTGTGCCATGAGTAACTCTGATGACTGTGTCAAAGTAAAAGATCAGTTCTTGAAGTTTCGATGTCGTCTCATCCCGACACACTTCTTCGTTCATTTAACTACATCCTGTTAGAAGGACTCATCAAGGAAAAATACTGCTGTTACTGTTAGTCATCAACTAAGTGATTCTAAACTTAGACAGTCTTATCAGAGCCGTTCTTAGGAGTTTGGGGGCCCTAAGCATGGAGCGTAGCTTGGGGGCCCCGGAAGGTGGGGGGTGGAGCTCCCTCGAGCTCAGGAGAAAACACCACCCATCACTGCGGCACCTCCATTCTGCCTTCATCAATGTTTCCTCTTTCCCATTCCCACGACCAAGCCCCCGATTTCTTGTCTAGCACCCCCAAAGCTCACCCCTGCTGGTTCCCTTCCCCTGCCTCCGACTTCAACTCAGAAAGATAAATTTAGGATGAGGAAGGTAATGTGAGTGACACTGATGGCTGCAGTACCAGCTAAAGAAAAAAACCGGGGGATCGAGGGCGCCTCACGGGGCCCCCTCACGTTCGGGGCTCTACGCGGATGCGTAGTCAGCGTATGCCTAATAACGGGCCTGGTCTTATGGCCCATTACGTAATAAACATTTCTTAAAAACCTCTTATTCTGTTCACTAAAAGCTCTTGGCGTCCGTAATATTAAATCGATCACTTCAAACACTGATCGTTGACAATAGAGGACGATCGTTCTAAAGCAGCGGGTTGCGACCCCTTTCAGGGTAGAACGACCCTTACACTGAGGTCGCCCAAGACCATGGGAAAACACATCTTTATGAAGTAGCAAAGAAAATAATTTTATGGTTGTGGGATCATAACAACATGAGAAGCTGTATTAAAGGGCCGCGGCATTAGGAAGATTGAGAACCTCTGGTGTAAGGAACACGTATAATATAATATTCGTTTTTATAAATTTGATTGAGTGAAAGGAAGTTTTGTAATGGCCACATGAAATATGGGAACTTCTCGTTTGAACATGATTTTAATCGATTTTTACCCCAAAAATTAGTTTTTATTGGAAGTGACAAGGAAGGTGTCCGCTCTTTGATTTCATCGCATGTAAGAGAGCGAGTATAGTGAAAGTGTTAAATAATTCAATTACGTCCTGTATTCAAATATATCCTCAAAATTAACCACATATAAAATTAAGCTCACGTGAGAAGATAATCCCGAAGTCTGCAAATAAGCCCGAAGCCAGCAGATCAGCCCCAAATCAGCAGATAAGGCCCACATCAGCAGATAAGCCCCAAGTCAGCGGATAAGCCCAAAGCCAGCAGATAAGCCCCAAGTCAGCAGATAAGCACCAAACCAGCAGATAGGCGCCAAACCAGCAGATAAGCCCCAAGTCAGTAGATAAGCCCAAAGTCAGAAGCATTAACGTGTACGGTAACAAATGTACGTGCGCGGTGATTATTCTTAAAGTACAGTAATGGTTTTTCGACATTTGACCTGGTTAGTCATGAGTTCTATGCATAACAGCAAAGAAGACTTTAAAAAAGAGAATGATTAATGTAAGAAAAGACACAGTACATCTCGCTGAAAAAAAACAACCCCCACACACTACAGATATATAATTCATCCAAATAAGCATAGTGATAACATTTTTTTTTCAAAAGAGGTCCACACATACAGAAGAGTTCTCAGCGTAACCACAAATTTAAGTTCATTTTTCAACAGAGCTCCACACATACAGAAGAGTTCTCAGAGTAACCAGAAATTTAAGTTCATTTTTCAACAGAGCTCCACACATACAGAAGAGTTCTCAGAGTAACCTCAAATTTAAGTTCATTTTTCAACAGAGCTCCACACATACAGAAGAGTTCTCAGAGTAACCACAAATTTAAGTTCATTTTTCAACAGAGCTCCACACATACAGAAGAGTTCTCAGAGTAACCACAAATTTAAGTTCATTTTTTCAACAGAGCTCCACACATACAGAAGAGTTCTCAGAGTAACCACAAATTTAAGTTCATTTTTTCAACAGAGCTCCACACATACAGAAGAGTTCTCAGAGTAACCACAAATTTAATTCATTTTTTTCAACAGAGCTCCACACATACAGAAGATTTCTCAGAGTAACCACAAATTTAAGTTCATTTTTTCAACAGAGCTCCACACATACAGAAGAGTTCTCAGAGTAACCACAAATTTAAGTTCATTTGTTCAACAGAGCTCCACACATACAGAAGAGTTCTCAGAGTAACTACAAATTTAAGTTCATTTTTCAACAGAGCTCCACACATACAGAAGAGTTCTCAGAGTAACCACAAATTTAAGTTCATTTTTCAACAGAATTCCACACATACAGAAGAGTTCTCAGAGTAACCACAAATTTAAGTTCATTTTTTCAACAGAGCTCCACACATACAGAAGAGTTCTCAGAGTAACCACAAATTTAAGTTCATTTTTTCAACAGAGCTCCACACATACAGAAGAGTTCTCAGAGTAACCACACATTTAAGTTCATTTTTCAACGCAAATGGCACCCATTCAAAATGTCTCGGTTTTAAAGAAACAAAAAAAAATGTAATTAAACAATAATGGCCAACATTTCTATGTGACATAATAGCCACTATTTGTATGTGATGTCCCACTGACATGATAGCCACTATTTGTATGTGATGTGCCACTGACATAATAGCCACTATTTGTATGTGATGTGCCACTGACATAATAGCCACTATTTGTATGTGATGTGCCACTGACATAATAGCCACTATTTGTATGTGATGTGCCACTGATATAATAGCCATTATTTGTATGTGATATGCCACTGACATGATAGCCACTATTTGTATGTGATGTGCCACTGATATAATAGCCATTATTTGTATGTGATGTGCCACTGACATGATAGCCACTATTTGTATGTGATGTGCCACTGACATGATAGCCACTATTTGTATGTGATGTGCCACTGACATAATGGCCACTATTTGTATGTGATGTGCCACTGATATAATAGCCACCATTTGTATGTGATGTGCCACTGACATTATAGCCACTATTTGTATGTGATGTGCCACTGACATAATAGCCACTATTTGTGTGTGATGTGCCACTGACATAATGATGTGATGTGTCAATGACATGATGACCACCATTTGTATGTGATGTATCAATGACATATTGACCACCATTTGTATGTGATGTGTCACCGACATAATCGTTTTCTGCAAATACACGCAACATTTTAAAAGGTGACATCACATACTTAAGAAATGTCAATTAAATCCACATGTCTTGGTGAGGTTATGTAACGTACTTTATTACTCACAATAACGAGAGAGAACTCTCGTGGATAGAGGGGAAAAACACATTTAGATCAAATTCTGATAGTGCTTAACATTGATAGCACTTACATCTTGTTTCTAATAGTCTTCCTGAGTTCAGTGGGACTGGGCACCGCTGAAAAGCCTCAGTATATCTAGTTTGGTTTTTTGCCAAACGTTATGTGTTGGTTTCTCGGGAATAGCTAAATGTCCATGTCTATACACACACAACATGTATCTCTTCCTAGAGAATACCATTTCCTTTTTATAAGGAATACAAGTAATGCTATAGGGAAAACTATTTATTTTATGGGAAATACACGTTTTTCTTTATGGAAATAGCTATGCTTAATAGCATCTGCTCCTTAAGACTGCATTTGAAAAGAACAACTGAACATATCATCATAACATTGGGAAAAAAGCTTTTTAGAACAGTGTTTCTCAAACGTTTGTTTTTTTTTGCTCGTGGCTCACTTCAACGTTTCCTTTGATCTAATTCCATGGTCCCCTGTCCCCTGTCCCCTGTCCTCTGGTCCCCTGTCCCCGTTATTAATATATTTATACAACTGAACTCATACATATTCCTTTTCGTGCCCCCCGCCAAAAAAAAAATAAATGATATGGCCCCTTTATT